CTGCATGACCAAGTTGAGCAGCAGCATGATGCCGGGGGTAGTAGCTTTAATCAGGATGGTTATAGCAGGTAACGCAGAAATACACTACAAACTGTGCTACATCAGTGATGACGTCACAGATCACTGGTGACACAATGCTTGTCCGATGCCCCTCAGATCAGTGTTTTTTTTAAACATATTTTTCAGTCAAGATTTCCTTTACATATTGAACTGTATAAAATGCCAACTAACTAGGCTTGTTATTAGTGGTCGGTCAGTCTGCTACGCTGCGTTTGAAAGCGTCGATCGGGACTGGTGCTTTCGAATTGAGTTATGGCGTGAGAAGCTCACTGGTTTGAAAAATGTAGCTCGTCAGTTTCTTAAAGGCGCTGTGCGGCCTCCTAAGGATCTACCAGGAGAGCGTCTCTGGTAAAGTGTTGAGAAGTCCTGCCGATCTAGGGGGCTTTTTTGTGGATCCCCGAGCTGTGGCTTCAGAGGTCAACGGAGGAAGTTGGAGCGACACATGTCAGGGATTCATCCAGGGCTCCCTGCTTCTGAGAGTAACAGCGGCTTCGGGGCGAGGGGCCGATTATCGCGGCCATAGGCGTCTCACATCGCTCGGGGCACCTCAGAGTAACCGGGCTGATCGGTTGAAAGGCATGACATAAAGCGCTGTTTATGATAATTATACTGTACGTAGAGCTGAACGACGGTGCTTGAGGTGTTCAGAACTGTCTCTTGTATCTGCTGATACCAATATGCCATGGATTTTGCACTAAATTAAAATGATTAAGATCGTGTTAGACAGTGCGAAGCCTGCACGGGTAATAGCAGTGGTTATTCCAAAATATTGAACGTCGCCCCTGCTTCCAGCTGTTTGTGCGGTGACGTCACATAATCAAAAGTGATATTATTTTCAGGCGTTTGTAGAACCATGCTATCTGTAGATGTACAGCGAAACGGATGCAATTTTGCAAAGTACGAGGGTGTAAGGGAGGGGGACAGGAAGAAGGAATGTCTTAGCCTGCCTCCAAAATGCAGTTAAATAGTTTTCTCTCAGATGTGGCGACCGTTATTCTGATAGTTGGGAGCAGCGGCGTGGTTTCCCAAATTTAATTTCGAGGGCTGGCTGAACCCTAAAAAGATGATAAATGGTGAAAATTATGAATGAAAAATGATAACTAAAAATAGGACACTACACCCCCGATAAGGAGGCGCAATCATCCACTGGATAGGAAACTACACACCAGTAGGGCAAGTTATGTTAAGTATATCTCTGTCTGATGATTTTCGTAGATTAGTCACATCCATCATTCAGTGTTTGATGGATTGCTTAGGGTTATTCAGTTCAACAGCTGCTCTAGTACAAAACCACACACAAACTGATGATTTTGAAAGAAGCCTATACCATGGACATCTGATTGTGCTCGCTTAATGCAAGTCTGCGTGTCTAGTTACACACACGCGCACCCACGCACGCACGCATGATGTATTTTGTGAAAGCAGTGGTAAAAAGACAGCTGCGTTCCAGTGTGAAATTAATTACCACCCTGCTGTACGTCACATAATTGTGAATATCAATCTGCCAAAATTGATGTTCAAACTATGTGAATATCAATCCTGGCTACTTTCTATCAGGATTCACTCAAGAAGCCTGACGTTGATCTTTGGCCAACACAATTGCTGAAAGTGGTCAAATCGTTCATGTGTAGTTAGTGCCATCGGGGAATCCTACAAAGCCGATCATGTTCTTTTGCCCATCACATCCAGTTAAGCCCCAGCTAATGATGATGTTGAATCTCTTGGAAGTTCGAAGCCAGACCTTTTATTCTATGAATACCATGTAATTAGTGTCAGATCTGAAGAGGCTTCTGCAGGTTTATGTACGTGCATACATGCCAGCCTATTTTTTCATCGAATGATGTCTGCTAGATTTCTTTAGACATCTTTGATTTTGGTATCCAATAAGCCTAATGCCAATAAGCCTACGGGAGTGAACGTATCAACCGCATAATGAGCACGCCAAACGTGATGCTTGGTCATGGCTCATTCATTAGGTCTCGCCTTGATTCGTCGTTTTTCATAACCAACCATTATGTTTGGTCTTGGCTCATTTAGTAGCCCTTTCCTTGATTTGCCGTTTTCATGATGCAGCCTGATCGGGGGGGGGGGGGGGTCGATGCAACCCTCCCCATACCGCTTCAAAACTAAGGTGGAGAGAGCCGTACGAATGAAAGGTCTCAACGATGTCGCGACTGGTGAGAAGTGGTATGTTCCTTAGTAAACAAATGTCCAGGGTTAAATTTTCCTGGAGATCAAAATTTTTGGTTTTCCATGTTCATATGTACGAGACCATGCCCCGCAGTGACACGAAATCTGATCAGGTGTGCTCCTGCTTGAATTCTGAGGACAGCGTTGTGCAGCTTTATGTACTTTGAGGATAAATTTATGATGTAGGGCTCCGTTAACTCGCGCCCGGCCGGGGTCTGAGACAATGGCGCCCGGCCCGGCAGAGGGGGGGGGGGGGGAATTCACCTCCCCTGGGATCTCCAACTTCCAGACGTCGTATAAGATAAGCAAAGATATCATTTTGAAGGTCTCACCAGATCATGAAGAATGCAACCCAAATAGACAATAAACTTATACTGAGTTTGTTTAAAGTATGTTGGCTATTAAACTTCAATGGAATCGCGTGAAAACGATCATTTGCTTTTAAAGGTGCTAAACTACGCAACAAATTAGAGAAATATCCTGTTGCAACGAATAAAAAAGCATTTCAGAAACTTTTAAAAGCCTATCCGCGCAATTATTCGTGAAAACAAAGTAGCATATCGCAGCCCCCAATCGACGATCCTTCGTGGATTGTTCGTCCGTTTGAGTGTGATTGAATTGCTCCTCTGCTTGGCTGACGTTCTTATGGCCTACTGCTTGCAATGTTACAACACGGTATATGAGTGGTCAGCATATGACGATTGGCGACAGCCTGTTGTGCGACCGGTGTGGCTTCCCTGCCGCGAACTCGAGCCGGACCTGTGCGCCCTCGCGGCGAATGCGTCGGCCACCGGCCACTACTCAGGCAGCGGTCGGTTCGTCCACTTCGCCAGCCAGACGGGTCGGAACGGGTAATGAAGCCCCATTCTAGGCTGCACCATGGGGCTGACCAGCTACTTATTGATAAGTGGTTGCCCAACGTGCGGGCAAGAAGCCAGCGTTTGATATTCAAGTGCAGCGTTCGCGGGCTCCGTCACCTCGCGGGTGTAACGCTGCTTGAACTGTTACCGCGTGCTATCTGCCTATCTAGTTCAAACTGGTTTGCTCTCACTTAAAGCTGCCGATTGTGTTATGTGCGAATTAAAATGGATGTCTACTAGCAATTACAATAAGAGCAGTCTCGGGCACTATATAGATATTATCCAGTCACGCAATCCCCAGATATCTCCGCCATTCGATACTTTTTGTTAGATATCTCCGCCATATGAGACTTCTTGTTAAGTCCCGAATCGCTGTTCGAATGAAATACCGGCAGGCAAAATGTCAACTCTGAAAAATATCAATGCCTTTTGGCATCGGACCTTGTGTTTTTTGCAGGCGTCGTGCGAAATTTTGTACTAAAACTTTTTGTGTTTGTTTGCTTTTCGTTTCAAATCCGTGTATGAACCCCCACTCTTAACATGCGCTCGGGGCGTAAACCCCGCTTCAGATGAAGAGCGAGGGTTTGAGCTTGACCTCCGCTTCAGATGGAGTGCGTGGGCTTTAGCGCGAGCCCCGCTTGAGATGAAGAGCGAGGGTTTGAGCGTAAACTCCGCTTCAGATGGAGTGCGCGGGCTTTTGCGCGAGCCCCGCTTCAGATGGAGAGCGAGGGTTTGAGCTTGAACTCCGCTTCAGATGGATTGCGCGGGCTTTAGCGCGAGCCCCGCTTCAGATGGGGAGCGAACGTTTGAGCGTAGACTCGGCTTCAGATGGAAAGCGAGCGTTTGAGTGTTTTGAACTGCCACAACTGCCGCCGAGCGCTGACATTAATGGCCAAGAGTTGGCTTGTTGCAGAACGTCGTTGGAGGAGGAGAACCACGAGCAGCAGCGGGAGTCTTCGCCGTCAGCAAACGAATACGGGGCGATGCAGGTAACATGTCGGAATTTGCTGTGAATGGGTCACGTCTTTTTCTCCGAATACCACTGAACATCACGAGACACTTTATACAAACTACGAGAGTGCATAAGCACACCAGGTCATATAGAAAACCAGATGTACGATTACACCCAGCGGGATGGATTTTGATCATATTCATAGCGACCAACACAAAAATAA